ATACATTTTGAATCATCAAATCATCGAGTATTTATCAAACATTTTGAAAACATATGAACTTTCTCAAAATTTATTATTTTAAAAAAGTGTAGTGTAGCGGAGTGTAGTCGTCATCAATTCAATTCTAATCATCATTCTTTTAAGGGAAAAGGGGACGTCATTAATTTTTGGAAATTCAAAAGCAGTTTTTTCGTTAAAACCCGAAATTCTGTCAATGAAATAGTGTCCACTGTGTTCCAGTAGGCAAGTAGAATCCAATGCACAAATTTTCGTGTACGTAATGTTGGTTTGAAATATTTGAAAATTAATGCCGTTCCCTTTTGGTTATTGGGCTACGTCCAATTAAAAAGCAGTAATCCTTTCTCACGGATGCAACTTTCTAGCCTTTAAAATAAAGTAAACTGTATCGGTCATGTTAGAGTACTAATGCTGGATTTATAGTCTCTCTAAACTCTGGTTGGCTAAATAATAAAAATTTAACGGTGTTATTATGAGCTAAATAAGTTGAATCAGCTTAAACTTCCAATAATTTTAGAAAAACGCATCTTATTTGACTACCATTTTTCAAATTGTTTGCTCTTGAAGTACAATGAACAGCACCTGTATTATTTTTTTCTAGTAGAAACATTTTTTTTTTTTAATTGTAGTCAGTGTGGGTCATTCGAGTAGTATCATTTCTGAATCCATGATAACAACTTCAATTTTTCAAAATTTCTTAAATTACACTATGAGTTTTTTGGGATCAGAGAAAACGAGACTGTTGAACCAATTAAAATTTAATATATTTTTTTTGATTACAAAAAAAAAAAAAAGTACGATTGATTTGATTGATTGTGTTTCAAGTAATTTCAATTTTAAAAACGGTGTTCAAACAAGAAGCTTTTTACTGAAATTCAATTAAACTTCATGCAGAGTCAACTCAGCATCACTCTAAAAAAACCGGTAAATTTTGAATATTTGATCAAACAGCAGCCCAAATTCAGCAATTTAAATGTACATACAAAAAAAATACAGCTCTTTTAACTTTTTTGGACTAACAAACATTTTACAATGAGCCCTTTAATATGACTTTAGATTCAAAACAAACTGCCTTGGCAACCTCTGCCTGGGATATTTCTGGCAACACTGCCAATGCAATCAAGATAGGCGCTGCTCAATTGACTCTGGCTTTGACAGTTCGTTTGGCTCAAAACCAGCCAGTCCGCTCATCTCTTATACAAGACCCTATTTAATATGATCGGTTCTGTACATACTTGGAAATGAACTAGTGTACTTCTTTGCATGATAACATCAGTTTAATAACTTCAAAACCTTTCAAATATGATGAGGTTAGGTCAAAATAAAATGATAAAATTTATTTATTAAAATTGTGCTTGAAAATATTCAAGCATTAAAAAGAAGGATATTTTGAGGCAAAAGGAGGACATGTAAAAAAAATGTTCAAAAAGGAGGACATGTCCTCCTTTAGGATACCAGATGGTAACCCTATGCTAGGTGATTATGGCGGCAAACATACTTTTGAATATAAAATCCGATAAATGATCATTAAAACAATTAAAATGCTGCTTAAGGTGATACTCTAAGGAAGCCTTAGCGTGAAACTTTAAAGGCACAAATTTCAGCTTCCACAAAACATACATATTTGAAATTGCTACTCCTTGTTTGCTGTGCTACTGAGAGAGATTTCAAATTTGTATGTTTTGTGGAAGCTGACATTTGTGCCTTTGAAGTTTCACGCTAAGGCTTCCTTAGAGTATCACCTTAAAACATCCAATAATATATAAAACCCCGCTGAAAATCCCTAAAAGTGTGAATTATCCATAAAACATTCAGCATTGAACCTTGAACTAAAGAAATTTTACTTACTTATCGACTTATCGAACTTCTCTTATCTTCTCTGACCTTTTCAGAGAACTGCTGAAAAGAAGAAGCTGTGAGGTTTGGAGAACTTTTGAGTGGTTCGGTGAACTACGTATTGGCGAACTACATCTGAAATGCTTGAACCAGTTGTATCGATCATCTCCGTTTTGATCTAAAATTGGTGGATTAATTTATTAGGCCAAAAGTGAAACATATACAAGGGTTGTGAGAAATATAGAGTACTAGCAAATCTTTTAATCTTCTAAAAGCATTCGGCTGGAAAACTAATCAAGTTGCATGGTGGGGCAATGGAAGCGACCATGGTTACCGGATACCGGAAATATTCCTGGTTTCCTGAGGGCATGTCTAAATTGCTAAATTTGTGATGAGTTTTTCTCAGGGTGTCCGTTACTAATCTGTGTTTTTTGTTCATACGCCAAAAATAGAACTATTTCCAAAGCAAATGACGCACCAAGAGCGAAAATCGACTCAGAATCAACCGAGATATGGCCATTTTCCTGGAATCGGTCCTGAGGGAGGGTTCTGAGTGTCATTTCTTTCATTCACTCAAAACATGCCATGTGACACCTTTTTCATCATGGTGTTTTACCAATAGTTTTTATCTGGAGCATTGACCACATTGGCCACTTCCGAAGCCACTGGAGTGCCCCCGGGGGAACCTGTAGTAGGGGACAAATTCATTTTTACACCAAAACATGCCATGCGACACCTCTTTATTCATGCATTTTCATCAGAAGGAATCCTAAAGACTTTAAATGGATTATTGACCACATTGATCACTTCGGGAACCACCGAAGTACCCCCGGGGAACCTGCAGTAGGGTACAATTTTATTGTTACACCAAAATATGCCGTACAACACCTCTTTCTTCGTGGTTTTTCATCCGTAGGCTTTCTATAGACTTTAAATGGATCACTTCCGGAACCACCGGAGTACCCCCAAGGGAACCTGTAGTAGGGGACAGTTGCATTTTACACCAAAACATGCCGTGCGACAGCTCTTTCTTCAAGTTTTTGCATCAGTAGGTTTTCTATAAAGTTCAATTGGATCATTAATCACATTGGCCGCTTTGAAACACCGTAATGCCCTCCGAGAAACCTTAAATAGGGGAAAACTGTATTTTTATGCCGAACTAGGGCATACGACAGCTATTTTTCATGATTTGTTGTCAACTTGTTTATTAAAGACTTGAATTGAATCACTGACCACATTGGCCGCTCTCAGAACCACCGATATAACTCCGGGAGTATCTGTTGTAGGGGAAAATAAAATTTTTACAGCAAATTACGCCGTACGACAGCTCTAATAAATTATGACACTAAAGTTTCCTGTTAGCATTTCCAAACAACTCTGAAAATCGCCAACTTCGCGTATGAAGTAACGTAAAAACACTTTGAATGTTGGTATTCTGGCTAAAAAAAAATACGTACGCTTGATCCGGGACTCCTTCCGGGAACGTCATTTCATTTTAATACGTTTATGTCACCATTGTTTAACGGTCGTCGGTCGCAGTGACTTGCTGTGACGTTTGGAGCTCGGTGGCCTAAAAGCGATCGATTTCGCTTACTAAGGAGAAGATTGTGGCTTCAATCTCAGGTTCTTTTTACGTTTGTTGTTGTTGTTGTTGTTTTTTTTTTTAATAATTACTTTATTTGTACAGGCTCAATTGAATAACCTTTACAGAACCGAGTTATCCTTTCCGTTATACATTATTACTATTTCTATACGCGGTTGTATCGAGGTTAGTGGAGATTTACAATTTTTTGGATGGGAAAAGGGAAGAAGGAGGTTTGAAATGTGGTTTACGATACAACTATTAAATTAATCCTAAAGCATGAAATTATTTCTATTCATTTTGAAAACAAACATTGAGAAAAAAAAACCCACACGTTGTTGTTGTTGTTGTTGTTGTTGTTGTTGTTGTTGTTGTTGTTGTTGTTGGTGTTGTTGTTGTTGTTGTTGTTGTTGTTGTTGTTGTTGTTGTTGTTGTTGTTGTTGTTGTTGTTGTTGTTGTTGTTGTTGTTGTTGTTGTTGTTGTTGTTGTTGTTGTTGTTGTTGTTGTTGTTGTTGTTGTTGTTGTTGTTGTTGTTGTTGTTGTTGTTTCTTCGTTAAAGAGACTTTCAGTCCAAGTCTGGTATCTTGCGCACTCTGCGTAAGTGGCAGATGGGTGGGCGCATGTTCAACGTACTGAACAGTTTCCTCACCGACAGATCTTTCCGGGTAAACGTGGAAGAACATTTATCGGGTGAAATGCTATTGGAGAACGGAGTCCCCCAAGGATCAGTGTTGTCTGTCACGTTATTCCTTTTAGCGATGCAGCCGATTTTCAGAGTGGTGCCGCATACTGTTGCCGTGCTTCTCTATGCGGACGATATTTTGCTGGTGGTACGGAGGAGTAAGGGGCTGTCCATAAACTACGTAGACAGTTTAGGGGGGGAGGGGGGTTGACAATTATCCACGGTCCATACAAATTTTAAAAATTTTGTATGGGTGATTGTCTACGCAGGGGGAGGGGGGGGGCAAGAGTCCCAAAAAACTATTTACGTAGTTTATGAACAGGCCCTAAGGAGCGTCCTCTGTATAGAGATCTACAGGCTGCAGTGAAAGCTGTCGACAAATGGGCGAAAAGCGTCGGCTTCACAATTTCCGCGACAAAATCAAAAAATTTCTACGGCAGTCCCAACGTCCGTCGAGAACCCAGCAACGATATATTCATCGACCGTACAGCTGTACCGAGGACAAATCAACTGAAAGTTGTTGGCGTCAACCTTGATCGGTCGCTGTCCTTCAAACACCATTGCAAGGTAGTCAGAAACACGTGCGACTATAGACTGCGGATCTTGAAGATGATCTGGGCTAAACTTCCGCGAGGGCAACGCTATTCTCTGTTGTGTATCGGATCAGAAATCGTCACGTCGCGACTTATCTACGGTATCGGGCTCGTCAGTAGAGCGAAGGATTCGGTGGTGCAGACTCTTGCACCCATCTACAACCGGATGGTCCGGTTCGCCTCAGGGGCGTACGTCACCAGTCCGATTCCAGCGATTATGACTGAAGCTGGCACGTTGCCATTCGATTTAATGGTAATGTAAGCCATAATTCGTGCTGCAATTCGTTTGATGGAGAAGGATTCCAGGAATATCGATCTTCCAGTTGTGGAACGAGCGTCCGATTGCCTGGCGACGATTGATGTAGAGCTTCCAAACATCGCTGTACGAACACGTCTCGCCAACCGAGAGTGGTATGAACCCAAGCCGCATATTGTTTGGGATGTGAAACGGAAGGTGATAGCCGGGGATCCCCCGAATACAGTGCGTCCCATCGTGCAGGAGTTGCTGGCTAACCGGTTTAACCGTGCTTTGGCTATTTATACGGATGGTTCTAAATGCGAGAACATAGTTGGAGCAAGTGTATTTAGTAGCAGTATTCAGCAAGCAATAGGTCTTCCGTCACAATGTAGCGTGTTTTCAGCGGAGGCCTTTGCAATCAAGTCGGTCGTCATCGCTGCAAGAGCATCAACCGAATGTGTTATAATTCTGTCTGATTCGGCCAGCTGTCTTTCGGCCATAGGGAGTGGTAGATCGCAGCATCCGTGGATCCAGGAAATCGAGCGCTTACTACGTGCACGGCCGATCCACCTTTGTTGGATCCCTGGTCATGCCGGAATTCGCGGTAACGAAGAAGCAGATCGTCTAGCCAGTGAAGCACGAAACAGTCCACCAATCAACGTCGCCGTACCAAGGATTGATTCGATCAAGAACATGAACCAAGTCTTTCGTCAGCTATGGGAAGCACGTTGGGCACAATTGACAGATGTGAAGCTGAAGGAAGTCAAAAGGGAAACGAAGAAGTGGATCGATCAGTACAGCTCTGCCGATCAACGCGTACTCGCTCGTCTGCGAATTGGTCATACTAGGGTTACGCATGAATTTTTGCTGAAGAAAATAGCTCCGTGGATGCTGTGGGACCGTAGTTGACGTTCGTCACATTATTCTGCACTGCAGAAAATTTGAAGCGGCCAGGACGAAATACGGAATTGATTCCACAAGCCTTTTTACGGCGTTACGCAACGACGATGATTTTGAGAAGCGGTTGCTGAAGTTTCTGCATGAAACCAAACTTTATCGGAAGCTTTGAAGGGCGAAGATAGAATGGAAAGGAAAGTGCAGGATATAGGAAGAAAACGAAGCGGAGGATGAAGAACAAACAAGCGATGCAGAAGAAAAACGAAGTCTGAATGGAAGAAGATGTCGGACAGGAAATGGAAGAAGATGCAGCGGAAGAATGTTACCGATGAATGTTGGAAGCAAATTAGTTCATGAAGAAGATGCTGAATGGAAATCGAAGAAGATGGAGTGAAAAAGGATGAAGATGAAGCAGAAAACGAAAGTACTACAGAAGACATGAATGAGTATGAAGGTGCAGAAGAATGAAGATAAAAATGAAGCGCAAGGCAGGAACGAAGAAATCGAAAAATAATGTGGAAAAGATATATGGAAGATCATGAAGAATGAAGATGGTGAATATATATATAGAAGAAGTAAAGAAGAAATTTATGGAGAAGAAGTGTAAACCATGAGATGAGCATGCAGACGATGAACAAGGAATTGAATAAACGATAAGAAAGCTAAGTGAATTTTGAATTGTGTCGTAAACACTAACACTCACACCACTCTGAACACACCCACACACTGTTTACACAAAAACCAATTTAACTGACATGAATGCATCCGCAGGATGTAAAATGTCACTAATAAAGAACAACAACAACAACAACAACTATGACGAATGAGATCGTATTATTATATATTTTTTTTTAACTAGTTCGTTTATTTACTAGGCTCAGTCGTGTGTGACACTTTGCGGAGCCAAAATCAGTAATGTTTGATTTACATTTTAAATAGCAGTATTTCTAGGTTAGTATTTGGTACCAATTACTCGTGGCGGGCTCGAGGTTAATAGGTAACAATTTCAATTGGAAGGATCTAGGTAGGAAACTGGTTTCTGAAGCCTCCTTCAGATACTACTCTCGGACGGTTGACCAAATCCTGGCTGGGCAGGGGCAAGTAGCACAGGAACAGGAGGATAATAAGACTGGGACACAATGGCGGGAAATTGTTTGGAAAGGAGGGGATAGTCACATCAAACTCTAACATCAGACAAACAAAGGAATTCGTAGATCGCTTGCATGTAGGGGAGATCACGTGTTCCCAATACATCTCTTACTTCACGGAAGGGTTGTCTACCACGGGTCACTAGGGTATCCAACAGTCGTGCTCTGGAGGTGTCATTACCCGGGCAATACCAAACTGCGTGATCGATGTCATCATAACCGGTTCTGCACCTACATATATTGCTGTCAACGAGGTTTATTCTATAGAGATGTGCGTCTAGCGAGTAGTGGTTGGACATAAGTCTTGACATCCTACTAACAAAACAGCCGTGGAGATGCAGAGTTATACTCGGTCTTTAGTAACAACGGATATAGAGCTAAATATCCTTACCCTTCCCAATGACTGGTCAATCGCAGAGTAGCAACCACGAGTGGTAATGCTCATGCTCAATAAACAACCCCCCTCCATCACTTTACTGGTGTGGAATTTGTCGATGCTCAAAACCCGGGACGGGCCTTGACAATCGAGCTTCTCACTGTTCTTAATCTTTTTGAAGAATTCCCTTCGGAAAGTTGTGAGTGGTGTTTGACGGAGTTGGCCAATGAATGTAAATTTTTTTTTCTGTTTTAATTTGGATGTTATTCGGAATTTCTACCGGAGTTTAGCAGCTTGTACATCATTTTTGCTCAACACAATAAAACAACAATATCGATCACTTAAAACACGCAGTGCTCTCAATTTTTCAACTTTTCTTTCGCAAATATAAACAATTAACAACGCCATTCACGTCAACATTGATTCCGGTCTCACTGCCAGCGTGATTGATGCCCTTTTATTCCACGATTGCTACTGTCAAATCGACCAATCAAAAACTGGCTCGGATTTGACAGTAAATTGGCTCGAAATCGCTACCCGATTGTCCAGTCCCGTCCCAGCTCTAGACGACCTATGGAGTATCTCGAATTCCCAGTTCAACTTGAGCATGCTGCTCAGTGAAAAGGTTGAAGGCAGAGAGTTCATGTTTGGTTTAGATTGTGATGTTTGATCGTGTTAGAACCGTTTTGTTTTCTGTATGCTCTGCTTGCACGATTGTACTTTTACTTGAGATGCAACAAGCGACTTCTGCAAAAAATCTTCGAAAAGCTCAAAAGCGGTGGCGTTTAAGCATTCGACACCGATTTGTTGACTAGGGTAGTTTTTGGGCAGGTCATACAAGGGGAATATGCTCAATGATAGTGCTGCTAACAACATTGATGAAAAATCCACAGCTTCACAGTCGACAGCAAGTAGAGCTTGATATATTTCTATAAAATCAGCATTGCATAGATTTAAAATGATTTATTTCAGATGTGCTGGGCAAATCTTATATTTTCCAGTTGGGACACAATTTGAATTTTTGCTCCACTTGATCTAACATCACTGTAATGCACTGTTTTTATTGAACGAAATAAGCTTTTGTGATTTTGCCAAAAACATATCAGGGCTTTCCCACTACGACATGTCTACACTATTTTCTTCAACCATCTTCGTTTTTTTTTTTCAAATTCCGTGTAATATTTCACACCAATCAAACCATCTACTCAACAGATCAAAATCACACAGCTCGCCTGATTCTGTCCGTGATTGATGGTGTTTAAATTCGTTTAGACAGCCAAATTCGTCGCACAAACCATGTGCCTCAGCAATCTGCAAACTTTGTCGAAAATTAGTCACAACCCACAACTGGAGAATGCAATCGGCAGAAAAACTCACAAGTCCAGACCCTTTCCCCTGCCGCCAGCAAATAATCCACACTCAGAAACTCAATGAGGCAACAATTGTGTTCCATTTTTCTTCGCCCTTTGTCGGAGAGGATTTGAAAATTAATATATCTTTAAGTACTTCTCGCAACAGATTTTTCAGCACCCAAATTCGAACTTCGGTATTGTCGGGGAGAAAAATCGTTTGGTTTCCCTACATGACAAGCGTTTCCTCTAAATGCCCCGTTTTTCCTTCTCATCGGTTTGTACTTTCGGAAGTGCTGGCCTTCGATTGGCTATTGAATTTACGCAAGAAGCCACCCAATCTGTTATCTCCTGTGTTTTTTTTCTCCTCTGGATTGCACCTCGAGGGGAAGCCGGAGATCGATCGAGCGTCAATAGAGCCAATATCTTTATAGTCAGTCCTTGGGGAAAAGTCAGCTGGGGCTGGAGTGGACAGAAAAAAATAATGTTAAAAACCGAGAAACATTTCCCGTCTCGGAGGGCCTCCAGCGATAAGAGGACAAGTCAATTCAACAACGCAGAAAACAAGGTGCAGAAAAATATCTGTCGAAACAGAAGTTAGGTATGTGCGGACGTGTGAGCAGGAAAAAAATGTATGATAAACAATTTATCATTTTCGATATCAAAATCAGATATGAAACTTATGTTATTTTTTATCTATTAGGGGTGAGTACGATTCTGGGACTCCTGCCGGCCGCAGCACAATTACGTAACGAATCAATCATCCGATGTTCCCTGTGATACATTAGCTTCCCTTTTTCGCAGTCGATCCTCGGAGGCAGTCAGTCGCATAAAAGGAAAAGTTTATTTCATTCGTGAAATGACTTATCCTCAACGGGACCGTTCCGATGGACTGTGAGGGGAGGAACACGGACATCAGAGTTTTATGCTTTTATTGTCGACAGTGTATATATCGTTTGGGATTTAATATTGCTCGGTATTATTAAATTAAATTGTTTTTGTCTTCACTCCTCGCCGCTTCATTTGGTTCGAATGAGATCCAATGATAATCGCTTTAACGGCCAATAGCACCATACTTGAGCCTGGAGAAATTTTATCAGTCAAATATAAGCGTCGTTTCTGCCACTAACAGAGTAACTGAAAATGAAAGAAACACTCCTTTTCTCAACATGGATTACCTCGGATTACATCGTTTGTCAAATCGGTCAAAAGTTTTTAAAGAAGCGGATGATTGATGAAGTAATTCATTATAATTTGGCGTTTCACTCTTTCCCTGGTTTGCTCACGCATTGGAAAACAAGAGAAAATCTGTTTCTGCTGTTACGTGTGCCTGCGACGAATGCACATACCTCGTTTGCCTAGCAGCTGTAGAGCGCAGCACTCCAACTTCAATCAAATACACATTAATTTCCAAACGATTCCCTAAAAATTACAGTTGAAATGTAAATTAGTTCAAATTGTTCTTCGGCCTGTTTGCTTCACAGCACAAAGGGTTAGAGACGACCGCCAAAACTTTTGATGTTCGGCTCTTTGCTCGTCGCACAGCTTGACACTCGTTTGTGTGATTTAATTTGTCAGTTTGTCGTCAGTCTTTTGCCGTTGTGGAAACGTACGGTATTTATGAAAAATATTTCGCAAAAATTCCTTTCATTAGAGGGCGACTACATATTCGCATCCCTCGAAAGCTGTCGTTTTCATTTGCCAAATTTTCCACTCTAGCCCTCATCGTCACCACGCACGCACAAGGAAAACATTTCAATTAAGCATGCTCCAAATAATTCGGTTCCCATTCCTCCGGGTATGATGTGAATCAATTTTCATAGCTTCCGTGTGTTTTCTCATTAGAGTACACGGCTCCCTCCCGTGATCCCGGATGAACAAGTGAAAGACGCAAAAAATGCCCCACATCCAGTGGAATATTCTACGATTGATAACCCATCATCCGTCGTACATATCGCTACCGAACTGACGAGCAGAGCTCCATCAAAAGCCGGAATACGTCGTTTGTGGAATTCCATTCGATTTTCATTTACGGAAGCACAGTAGTCCGGGCACATCAGAGAGGGAAAAGAGTTCAACCGTATGTAGTTATCGCAGCAGCCCGGGATTATTTTTTGCTCGTCTTGAAGTATGAAATTG